TTTGGCCCCTCACCAATGACCTGTCTGGCTTGGGTGACCCTGCCAGGAACAATGATATAGATCAGGGCTATGCAATTAAACTGATACAGGGATCAAAATGTTGTAAAATGGGAATCGTTGCGGACCAGTGGCCCCAGAATAAAAAGAAAGACCGTTAGTACAAAGCAACTAACAGGTGATCCATGAGCCACTTGCCAGGCCTCTGTGGGCCAGATGGTTGTCAGCTGAATAGCCCTGATATAGATGGTGATATTTATGACGCTCTGTTCCTATGCTAGGGGAAAACCCACACAGAATGTCCATCGCTGTCCCTTGTCGAAGCAACTGAAACAGACTAATAGTCCTGGAAACGCCAACAACATACCAGTACATACATAATAAATACATAAGGCAGCAGTCAGAAGTGCCAACACAAACAGTCTGTCAACAGGATTACAGTTAATCGTTGATGGAAGCAGCAGCTACAACAAATCAGACGTTGCACATGCAATACTGTATAAGGCCCCACCAGTTCTGCAGCAACTCAACATATTTCATTTTCTGAATCTGCAGTTTACAATGCAAGCCATGGTCAGAAAAAAAGCACAAGAAACCCTTAACTGACAGTACTGAAAACACTTAACTCAGTAGCTGAGCGATGGAGCTATATACTTTCAGTCCACATATGAGGAAATGCAACAACAAAATATATAAGATGCACATAACTTGCCAAGACCATACCTATCTGTATATTGGACTGGAAGCATTTTGTTTATATACAGTTCCTGCACTTTTTCTTTGTTAGCTTTTTTAACTGTTGTGATTTCTTTGCGTTCAGTGGTTTGCCAGTTCTTCTGAACGGCTGGCTATCGACAATGCTGTCAAAACCAACACAAGCCATTTCCCTGCAGCTGGGATCAAACATGACACCCTGGCATTATAAAGAGCGTCTGCACCACCCCAGCTATAGTGCTACTGTAAAAGAGACCCTGTGTGGTGAGTGCCTGCACCTCTTTTGGACACTTTGTAGTGAACAGTGGCATCTTTATTCGACTTCTGTGGAGGGCTGACAAGCATTGAACCATACTGATATTCTAAATGCTTGAAGAGAAGGCGTTTACAAGAACCAAGTGATGACTGTGAATCTGCAACCATGACCAGACTGCAAGAACATGTTAAAATTCGTGTGGCCAGACAAGAGCACTATGCAGGAAGCCAAAGAAGAATAAGAAACCAACACAGAACTGGTGTCTTGAGCTGCTACACGCTGCAGGATTTACGGGGGGGAAGGGGGGGGGGGATCCGAGCACTTATAGGTGGAATGGTTCTATGTGCAATGACGAAAATCTGTTGACTACCCAACTAACTAACGTTTCTTCTTGAAGACTGATTTGATTTGATTTGATTAAAGAACTGACATCACAGCATTCGGGGCATTCCCATAAGCGCTCCATTCCCACCTTCAGCAGCCAGCGAAGAGTTCCGATACAAATGGTGCCAGCAGCATTCTGATTAAACGTCCGTCTTGCCTTTCCTCTGAGCCTCAAGCATCTGCCAGAACCTCTCGTCACTCTCATCTTGAAGAAAAAAAAACTTCTACCCATATATTTCTTGGTCAGCCTCTCGCCTTTTAGCTTGCTGTTCTCATGTAGCATGTTCTAGCTGCCGACTGAATTTGTTCCATTTTGACCATATGGCCAAACCATTTGATTCCTCGGTGTTCAGTGAAATCATTGACTGGTTCTGTGCCTACTATTCTCCTCAGTAGTAATTCTGCGTTTATGTTTTTTCTAGGACTGTCCTTGTCTAGCACTGACAGCAATGGTGGTAACAAATAGTACATTTATTAGCTGCTTCTTTTTTGATGTATAAATTGATATTTTGATGCCTCAAATGTGGCATTATTTGGTAATTCATGATGTTGGCCTTCCGTATTGTTTTCTATTTCTATAGATACAAAACATAAAATACTTAATACCCAAACTATCTACAAATCTCTAGCAACAACAGACATATATACAGTCACACCACTTATCAATGCCTCACTTAATAAACTAAAGTTATTAGTCTGCTCTCACAAACCTCATTCAGACCACGTTAATTTCTTCGTTGTAATGACTAACTACTCACCTCTTTTCTCAATCAATGAAATTTCCGTGTGTTCACAGAAACTCTGTGGTAGGCGTATCTTCTTATTCTTAGCACTCACCGGCTGTCAAATCTGGCCGAAGGTTATGGTTATTGGTCCACTTCTGGACCCTGATCTTGTCCCAGAACTGAGTTTTGCGTGCACATCTGTTTGACAGATCTGGCTTATTTGTATGCAGACTGTTCGTTCCTTGCCTCTCAGATAGACGCACTCTAACTTCAAAGGACAAATCCCTAATTAGTCAATCTTTATGACATTCTTGTTTGCAAGAGGAGGGGGGAAAAAACTGGTACCGGAAATCACACTGGGAAATTAATTTTCAAAACCCACAAAATAGTCCAGCATGCTTTAGTTTTATATTAGCTCTCTGATAATTTTTTTTTTACAGTTTAAAAAAAAAAAAACAACAACAACAAATGAACAGTGCTCTGGCCCTTGTCGGATAAACAAGGCATGCCTCTACCAAACACACCTTGAGCAAAAATATTATTATGCTAAATGTCTGACCCACTTTTCTTGTTTTGGCAAGAACTTTCAAAAACTCTGCCAAAACAAACACCCTAAACATGCCAGATAAACTTTCTGGTCTTAAAACATTTGTATTCACTGATCTCTTCTTCTTCTTCTTCTGCGTTCATCCGAAGATGTAATTGCGTTGTGTCCGTTTACAGCATGGCTGCGATATTTGCACCTTTTGGGAAACACATCCAACTTCTGCGGGCATTTGTTGACCGGGTTAGCCTTCCCATTTGTATTCACTGATCTTATTATGAAGCTGGAGAAGAAATATTTAATAAACTATGTGGTGAAAAACTGGTGCTCTTCCACTTACACTAAATCTTCACAATGTAAATACATGATAAATGCCACTGAAATCTACTGAATATCAACAAAAGGACAGACATAAATAATCCCACAGATAATACAGTGAAACACATGTCAAATATCTGGAGTGAATATACATAACCCAACCCAAACAACACGTAAAAAGGTGATTCATATACATAAATCACATATTTTTTAACTATGCCATTCTATGCTGCGGATTCTCAACCTTAACGCCACGTATTTAAAAAAAAAAATTATTTCAACACATTTTTTTTAAATACATTGCGACCGGATCAGAATTCCAGAAAACAAATTACTTAAGACTAGAGACACTGACAGCTTATATGTGGATAAACCCAGATTTTGTGGATATGTTATAAGGAAGGAAATTGGAAAATGTCATGGTAAGGAAAAAGCTTCAAAGGGAAAACCCAGAAAGCAACTGTTAGACAAAAGTGATGCCAAAAAAGTGGTGACTATAGTCGAGCTGATATAGCAGGCACAATGCCAAAATCATCCAAGTGTAATTAGGGCAATTTCCATCTAAGTGCCATTTTCAGGGCAGATGTTTGTAACTTTAGAAAATGCCAAAGGCACACATGTGAACTCCTATTGCAAACAGGTCAAACGAAGTAGGACTTTTCACACATCTACACTGTTTTGAAGAGATTTCAATGTTCAAATATGATCTTCTCAAAACAAGGATTTAGCCTCTATGTAATTTTGATAATAGTAAGAGAAAGTAAAGGACCCTTCAGGTATATCAGGCATATAGGGTTAGACCTATATTTTATAGAGAAATTGCCACTCGGTGGATGAGATCGTCAGCATCACACACTCTCACGTAGTACCAATGATAAAAAGGTCAAGTCAGGAGATGTGAACCAGCGTCATTGCACACGTTATAAACCATAAGTGCTCTGCCACCAGTACAGACAGCTGATAAGAAACTGCCCGCCTGTGTCGCCGTCCACACACAACTCCATAGCTACAGCGACGTCCCTCCATTTACCTCAAAGTGTCACCAATGATATCAAGAACTTAACTCACATACAAAAATAAAACAACAACAAAAACAAAACAAGCAAACTCTGACCACGACACCCCTGTGGTTAAACTGGTTTCCCCATATTCTGAAGGTTCCAGTTCATTTCCCACACTTCAACGCTCTGTTCATTAGTGTAAATTCTAAAGAGATAACTTGAACCTTAGTGAGAAACAGCCGACCGTGTAGTCAGAGTGCTGGGCTCGCAAGCCATCTTCATAAGAGATGGAGATGTTTTTCTGTCAGAGACAAAAATAACCTGCACAGTTTGTGGCAACAGGATGTTTTCAACCGTTCTAGTTGGAGTCTGGATCTTCTTAAGCACACTCAGTGGGTCACTGAGTCACAGTGAGTGACAAATACAACTTAAACTAATTACACACAGACAAATAAACATTTGCAGCGGATATAATTAGATTAGTTTCATTTCCATTCTGTGTGACCATCCTGTGAGCTTTTGGTTTTTTATTTTTATTGCAGCTCTGTGGCTCAAAGGTTAGTGAATGTATTTAACAATTTCATGATCCTCAAGTACTATGGATTAATTTCTGTGACTGATAGTTTATTTATTAATTAAAAAACCAAAACTGCTCTCAGTTTTAGGATGCACCTTAGAGAGACTGGGGCTTTAACCCATAATGAAGACAGCATTGGGTTTACTGTTTGAAGGCTTCATTGTGACAAGCTGAGGTAAATCAGTATTAGAACTCTGCACCGGCTGCTGAAGATGAGGATGGAGCACACATGGGAATGCCCCAAGTGCTGTGATGTCAATTCTCGACTGAACTCAAGCTGAGGCAATTTAAGAACCAACATAACAGCATTTGGGACATGACCATAAGCGATCTGTTCCTGAACCCCAGTATGTCAGAATTCTGAAACTGCTATCATAACCTCTAAGCCACAGCCGCCTATAGAAAAGTAATACAATAATAATAACATTATCAACTAAAGAACACAAAACTGAATGAATGTGATCAAAGTTGTCAATAAAGTTGATTAGAGCTGCCGAACCACGAGTTCCTTGTCAACGACCTCATTCCTGTATCTTTCTCGAATTTCTAGAAGCTGCTGGTCGTGTTCCTTGGCCTTCGTGTACAACAACACACCAATCGTCACGATTACAGTACCAAGGCCACTTAAGAATGTCACTGGGTTGCCAAACAGGATCACAGAAAGCCAAATTAGAAATGCACGTTTGACTGTGTTGGCCACACTAGAGAAGGGAGGAAAAATTAATAATAAGATTTAGTACAAATTTCTAAGAAACTCCTAAGGTCAGTAACACACAGTAAAAACCTCAATACCAATTGACTTAAGAAGAACTCTTGGATGCACATAAATACAATGTTGGTCCCTGTGAGTAAAGTAAAGATCCATTTTCACGCCTTTAGGCCCATTGTAGTTTATATTTCATTTATTTTGTTGGTTTATTGTGGTTAAAATTCTTAGCATTTCCTCCAGTAATCTCATTTCTACTGCCCATAGGTGGTTCTCAGCTGGCTAGCATGACTCATCTGTAGTGTCCAACTGGTCACGCAGCTTCTTTTTCAAGTTCATGCATGTGGCATCGGTAGTCAGATCCATCCACAACCTTCTGCGTGGTCTCGAGATATGGTGTCCGCCTCGAGTGCTGGAGGTGCCGGGTTCAATCCCTGATAAGAGCTGGGATTTTTTTTTAATGTGGACTTGGACTTCTAATAATTCCCCCCGGTCTCTGGGTAGTGAGATCCGACGCCCGTGTAAAAAAATTCCTTGGCAGTTGGAAATCAAAAAAAGAAGCCTAATGGCGCACCCTGGGCAAAATTTGCAATTAAAAATCTACCCAAAATATTTTAGGATCCTCGCTGGTGCAATGTGCTGAGCTTCTTTGGACTCAGACCTGAGTTAGAAGAAGAAGAGGGCATTTATGGGTTACACCCGTGTGCCATGATGTTGATCCATTGTTCTAACCTCAAACACTTCTGTGTAGTGTACTTTCAATCAACTCTGACACAGACGATCCTCCATGCCGTGATGTCAAACTGTCCAGCATCTTGTGTCTCTGTCTCCCTCTGCACCCCCCCCCCCCACCCCAAAGCAAATAATTAATGGCATCTTCATTCCTACTTTATGCTATCAGTGCAAAACATGGATAATGAACAGGACAAAAGAACATAAAATAACCACCTGTGAAATGTGTTGTCTCCGTAAGTCACTAACAACACAAAAAGGGACAGGACTACGAATACCAGCATTATATTGAAAGCTGGAAAAAGACAAGGGTCTTGTCCAAGAACATTCCGGTTTACTACCATTTTCCATGTTTTCAGATGATGAAACATGAAGACATGATAAAATTGTTGGAGGATATTAACACTGACAGAAAAGAAAAATATTCACTGGAAGCAAGAAGCAACAATTAAATTGGGAAATAAAGTAGGTAGTTATGAACAGATAAAGCAAGTATTGAGACAAAGATGTGTTTTGTCACCGGATCTCTTCTCTCTCTACAGTGAAATAATAATGAGGGAGGTAAGCAACAGACCAGAAATACTATTTGAAGGTTATAATATAAACAATCTTTGTTATGAAGATGATTCTGTTTAACTGAAAATGCAAAAGACCTACAACAACCATTTGACATTGCAACAAAAAAAAAGGGATTTTCCTTAAATGTCAAGAAAACAGAAACAATGGTTATGTAAAGAAGAAGTTAACTTAAAAAATGTGACATAGCAAAAGAAGGGAAAGTGCTTAACCAAGTCAATAAATGGAAGGATTTGGGGACATTCATAACATTAGATGGACCATGTGCAACATAAATTAAGAGCAGAATTGGCCAGGCAAAGACAGCATATAAAAAGAAAAGTATCTCACGTAACAAATCCTCTCATTAAACACACAACGAATACTGAAATGTTGTTATACTGGGCAGCTCTGTTTTATGGTAGGGAATCTTGGAATATGAGTCAAGAGGCAACTGAGATGTGGTTTTTAAGGAGAATGTTGCAAATATCTTGGACTGCCAGAATAACTAACAAAGATTGCTTGGAAGTGGCAAGTGAAAGTAGAAAATTATATACAACAATGAAAAAGAGACAAAGTTCTTTGGTCATGTGATGAGAAAAGGAGCATTGAAAAATATTGTGATGACTGGAAAGATCACTATTATGAGAGGCAGAGGCAGACCAAGAGAAATGATGGTGGATAGCTTAAGACAGTGGCAATGGTGGAATATCATCAGTGGAATCGATCAAGAACACCAAAGACTGAGATCTGTGGAGATGCATGAGCGCCTACGCCAGCTGACAAGGCACATGATGATGATGATGGTGATGATGATGATAATGATGATAATTTTTCAGATGACAGGCGTAGCAGAGATCTCTTTCTGCCCTGACACTGTGAGGCACTACAAGAGTAAAGAAAAGAAAAAAAAGAAGGAGAAGGAGGAGGAGGAGAAAAAGAAGAAGAAGGAGGGAGGAGAAGAGGGAGGAGAAGAAGAAAAAGAAGAAGAAGAGGAAGAAGAAGAAGAGGAAGAGTGTTATACTGTGCTGAAAGGAAACACTGGGTTCCAGTCCATGACAATGGTGACTGTGACAAGCAAGACCCTTTCATGTTAAGAAAAGCCTTAAGCAATTAGATCATGGGATTTCAGGACCATTGTAGCCACTGCATGTATATAATGTGCTTCTTCTCAGATGCTCCATTGTTGACCTATCTGCAGTCATATTCTCCTATATCCCGATTCCCTTCCTAGTTTTTCCCTTCCATACATGGTTCAAGGCATCCTGTTCCCAGAAAGCACCTCAATGCCTGTACCATTCATGTCTCACACCAGCCGCCTACACTGGAGCTATTCAGTCTGCTGGCCGAATCTGGCCCGCAGAAGCCTAGCATGCAGCCCATGGATCACCTACCAAGTGTAGTGTAATAATGATCTCTCTATGCTGGGGCTCAAGATTCTGGCCCGCGACCACCCCATGTTGGCCCCTGAGTCAACATAGCTGAATGCTCCTGGTCTACACACTCATCATTAATATATCTCAGTTGTCACTTGGTGCTACATTTTTGCATTAGCTAGATCTCCTAGAGTCAATGCTGGAGCTCTGGAACTTCATGCTTTGGGCAGCGTTCTCGGCAAATGCCAGGAATGTTGAATGTTTAATTAAAAATCAACATCACAGCACTTTGGACACTCCCATAAGTGCTCATCCCCCATCTTCAGCAGCAAGTGAAGAATTCCAATTCCAATGGTACCAGTAACCATCTGATTGTATATGCGACTCATCAACTCCTGAGAAGTGAAACCTATGCAACAACAACAATTTTAAAAAGTAACCCTCTTGCCTTTAAACCACCATTGTTAATAAAAGGACGAAAACATCTGACACACAGAAACCAACCTATGAGTAACTGGAGAAATATAATCCATAAGTACATATGCCGAAATGGACTGGAAATGGAAGAAAACCCCGTTTAAGAGTAAAGAAGATAGGAGTGTCATGTCCAGCGTGCGGTGGACCTTTTCTATATCCATCATGATGAAACAGGCAGGAATCTGGACAACGATGCTGGCAATGCTTGTGTAAAACTGCAGCTCTGCAGGGCTGAAACAAACAAGTGGAGGGATTGTGGTAACTGAAGGTGGGATTTTATTGCTAGAAGTATTCAGTATAAAGTGCTAGTCTGTGGTGACTGCTGCTTCCAGTGATACTGAACTGCAGAGCTTGGAGTGAACTGTTGGCTCTGGGTGGATGCTTATGCCTTTACTGTAAGTGAAATGCATTTCCTGTTGTTTTCACTGGTGGTGGAGGGGGTGGGAGGTAAACTATGTGATGTAAGACTGGATTGTCAGTCAGACAGACAGACCCACCCACACAGAGAGAGAGAGAGAAAGAGAGAGAGAGAGAGAGAGAGAGAGAGAGAAATGAGAAAGATATATATATATATATATATATATATATATATATATATATATATATATTATATATATATATATATATATATATATATATATATATATATATATATATATATATATATGTATATATATAAAACAATCGTATTATTAAATAATATATCTTGAAAACTACTTGATTCTACATACATCCAGTTTTAACATATGGCTGTGAGTCCTGGACAATCCGTAGGCATGCCAAACAATTTCTTCAGGCCTCAAAGATGTGGTTTTACAGAAGAATGAATAAAATATCTTGGACAGCCACACACACAAAAACCAAGAGGTTTTGAAAGAGGCAGGAGCCCGAAGACAACTTATCACAGACTTCAGAAGGAGACAGTCATCATTTTTGGCCATGTTATGAGAAGGGGGAAAATGGAACATGTTGTGACCATTGGAAAGATATGTGGAAGAATGGACAGGTTAAGACAACAAAAGAAAATTATTGACAGTCTTGTTGCATGGCATGGAGGTGTGTTGGCACACGAACTGATACATGCTGCAGGAGATCAGGGATTGTGGAGAGGCATGATCCCCATGCCAGTCAGCAAGGCACCTATAATAATCATCTTGAAAACTAGAGCTGAGCACATTTTTTTTGGTTTAAATATCATTTTCGTGTTTAGCATACCAAAATTAGTCAAGATCAGCTATTATTATCTCCGGTACAAATCACTTTTGAAAATATGCTGACTAGTATAATGAAACATTTATACATCTTAAGAAATGAGGAAAAACAATTATATGCCTGCACAGTCACTTATATCAATCAGTCTGCGGCCTTCTATAATAGAGGTGCCCAATTTGTGACCCTTGGTAAATAAAGTTCATTCGTTCGTTGGTTAGACAGAATCTCCAACATTTTCTGTCTCTTCCTTCTGGTTGTAAACTCCCTCTAACTGTTGTTCATTTATCTCTTCACGTCATCCTCCCACTTGTGTTGCTATCTACCTCTTACTTGCCTGTCTTCAACTTCAGTTTGGTTTTCTTAAAGAGTGTGATGACTGTAGCCTAAATATTTTACTCCTACACATTACACACACTTGAAGGAAAGGTTATAAAAATATAATTTCTAAGTCTTAAGTAACACTAAAAAAACTCAACAACAAAAACATTTAAAAGACCATTCTCCACAACATATATATCTATATCTACATAAATATAATGTACATGTTATTACATACACAAACATACTTACGTATATTTATATTTCTCTCCACTTATCAACAACTTGGAATAAACATTTTGCAAACTGTTAGGAGACACACAAAAAAAAAATTAGTACCAGGTTGACAGTTTAAAAACACTTGGCATCTGCCAACTTATCCATTTATTTACATAACAACCACAAAACAACATCTGGCAATTGTCTGGCATGTTTTGCTGTATCTTGCCAGGTGCATACTACAATAAAAAGTGATTAAAATGAAGCAAGTAAATCAATCGTTCTAAATGAAGCACAAAATCTACTGCATTAAAAAATAATCAGCTGTTTTACCAAGGCAAATGCAGGTTCAAGACCTTTTTGTCTGCATAAATTGACGGAAGCGGTTTATTACAGTGGTTTTTACACACAGCACAGAATTCTGTGATTGGTGAGACATAAGGAACTCCTATCTATCTATCTATCTATCTATCTATCTATCTATCTATCTATCTATCTATCTATCTATCTATCTATCTATCTATCTATCTATCTATCTATCTATCTATCTATCTATCTATCTATCTATCTATCTATCTATCTATCTATCTATCTATCTATCTATCTATCTATCTATCTATCTCTATCTATGTTAATTACTTGATGTGTGAATGAAATGATGTAAGAAATGATGCAAGAATGGAGGGATACCTTGAAGGGCAGAATGTTAGACGGGCTTGAGTGCCCAATTTTTAATCCTTTTAAAAATAAAGTTTGTTTGTTCATTCTATCTATCTAGACATATGAACATAATATGCCTGACATAAAAAATACAACTGCCGGCTGAAAGATAAATGCTTGGAAGGGCCGAATGTAAGACGGGCCTGCATGCCCAATTTGTGATCCTTTGGAAATAAAGTTTGTTTATTTGTTCTATCAGTGAATACATCCACCGAACAATCTATCAATTGAAATAACAAAATCCTTGTTTCTGCTCCAAACAACAGTTCTACATACAACATTTTACTTTCATCTTTTTTTCTAGTGGTATGGTGCAGTGGGCAACACATTTGTAACATACATAGCAACAATACCCCCAAATCAATATCATAGTATTTTAAACTGTTACCAGAAATTTAACTTTTATTTAAACTCCTCCCACCTGCCTTCCTTTTATTTAAACTCATCCCACCTGCCTTCCTTTCATTTAAACCTCTCCTACCTGCCTTCCTACCAAGTCTTTCCTCTTGAGCCTAGGGCGGGGCATAGGGCAGAGGTTACAGCTCCCCATGTCTGGAAGCTCGTTGCCATCTGTTTTAGATCTTGGATGTTCATTAGGCCCGAGGTTGAGCCTTCCCTGATGATGGTTCTATGCAGGGTCTCTCTTGGTCTTTCAGGTTATTTTTTCTTCCAGTGTCCATATGAGAGCTTGATGGGGAAGTCTGGTCTTGTCCTTTCCAGTGTCTATATGAGAGCTTGATGGGGGAGTCTGGTCTTGTCCTTTCCAGTGTCCATATGAGAGCTTGATGGGGGAAGTCTGGTCTTGTCCATTCCAGTGTCCATATGAGGGCTTGATGGGGGAAGTCTGGTCTTGTCCATTCCAGTGTCCATATGAGGGCTTGATGGGAGAAGTCTGGTCTTGTCCATTCCAGTGTCCATATGAGGGCTTGATGGGGGAAGTCTGGTCTTGTCCATTCCAGTGTCCATATGAGGGCTAGATGGGGAAGTCTGGTCTTGTCCATTCCAGTGTCCATATGAGGGCTAGATGGGGGAAGTCTGGTCTTGTCCATTCCAGTGTCCATATGAGGGCTAGATGGGGGAAGTCTGGTCTTGTCCATTCCAGTGTCCATATGAGGGCTAGATGGGGGAAGTCTGGTCTTGTCCATTCCAGTGTCCATATGAGGGCTAGATGGGGGAAGTCTGGTCTTGTCCATTCCAGTGTCCATATGAGGGCTTGATGGGGGAAGTCTGGTCTTGTCCATTCCAGTGTCCATATGAGGGCTAGATGGGGGAAGTCTGGTCTTGTCCATTCCAGTATCCATATGAGGGCTTGATGGGGGAAGTCTGGTCTTGTCCATTTCAGTGTCCATATAAGGGCTTGATGGGGGAAGTCTGGTCTTGTCCATTCCAGTGTCCATATGAGGGCTAGATGGGGGAAGTCTGGTCTTGTCCATTCCAGTGTCCATATGAGGGCTTGATGGGGGAAGTCTGGTCTTGTCCATTTCAGTGTCCATATGAGGGCTTGATGGGGGAAGTCTGGTCTTTTCCATTCCAGTATCCATATGAGGGCTTGATGGGGGAAGTCTGGTCTTGTCCATTCCAGTATCCATATGAGGGCTTGATGGGGGAAGTCTGGTCTTGTCCATTTCAGTGTCCATATGAGGGCTTGATGGGGGAAGTCTGGTCTTGTCCATTCCAGTGTCCATATGAGGGCTTGATAGGGGAAGTCTGGTCTTGTCCATTCCAGTGTCCATATGAGGGCTTGATGGGGGAAGTCTGGTCTTGTCCATTCCAGTGTCCATATGAGGGCTTGATAGGGGAAGTCTGGTCTTGTCCATTCCAGTGTCCATATGAGGGCTTGATAGGGGAAGTCTGGTCTTGTCCATTCCAGTGTCCATATGATGGCTAGATGGGGGAGGTCTTATCCATGCTGAGTGAATGTTTGATGTAGTTCTAGCGGCACTTTCTTCTAAAATTTGATACATTATCTCGCTTGGTCTCTTGTCTTATTTGCGTATTGGATCTGAAATCTGTCCAGTGGAGATTTTGTATTCTTCTAAGACATCTGTTCTCAAAATGGTATAATTTGTAATCAAGAGCTACTGTTGCTTTGTAACTCTCGCATCTATTAGTTAGTAATGGAATCTTAAGTTTTGTGTGATTGCTGTCTTTGACTTCCAGATGTTTGTCAGTTTGTTTAAAGGCACTAGATGTCAGTGCAAGTCTAGATTATATTTCTGGTGCTGAATCCCCTATAGATGTCATCTTACTCCCTAGGTATGTAAAGCTGTTGACTTTTTTCAAGAATGTGATCGTTTAGGTTGTCGTCTGAACCGTTGGCAAAAACAATAATTTTTGTTTTTTTGCGCTGTTAATTTGGAGACTAAACTGTCCTGAAACCTTTTGGAGATGGTCTGTTTTCTCTTGGATATCTGGGTGTGTTAAACTAAAAAAAACTATGTCGTCAGCAAAGTCAAGGTCTTCTAGAATCCTGTCAACCTATTTGATACCCATATTTGTGTTGTTTGTGTATATCTGTGCATGACTCAAAAACTGTTATTCCAAGGAGCATCAGTGATAGGACACAGCCTTGTTTCACGCCAGTTTCCACTGGGATACCTCTTACTGCAACATTTAAAAACAATTTAACAGATACTGTTGTTAAGGCCAACTTACCATTCTGTTAAATTAGTGGCCATGGCTGCGACAAAACCCTGAATGTTGAAGCTCAGCTCGTACGCCGAACACAGGCCGAGCCCCAGCATGATGGGAATCAGCGAGAAGAATGTGTAGATTCCTGTGAACTCTCCTATCAAGATTTTGGAGATAAACACGGTGAACAAAGGGGCCGAGCTCTTCACTGTTTCTGTGAAGGATACGGCCACAAACTTTAGGGCAACCAGGCCTAGCACGACTGTAGAAAACCTGGGAAAAACAGGAGTTCAAATGCAATAGTTAGTTTAGTGAACAACAAATTATAGACAGGGGCTTGAACACTCTGAACCCTCCCTTGAGAACAATTTGCAAAGGGACTCAATGGGATGGATTGATCCCCCTTTTTTTAAACCCTAATGTGTAGACGTTTTTTTTTCTTCTTTTGAAGTATTTGTTGTTACACTGCATACTATTTCAAGTACATTCTTATATTCATCTGCCATTCAGCACACTATAATTATTATTAGGTGCTTAAACAAGGATTAGGTACCCTGTGTTCCCTAAAATGTATAAGGGAGCATAGTATAGGTTTCAGACTCCCTGGGAGTAATGCTGGATGATTTTGATGGTTTGTGTAAGACTGTCAGCAAGCAGAGAGAGAGAGAGAGAGAGAGAGAGAGAGAGAGAGAGAGAGAGAGAGAGAGAGAGAATACCTAGTGCAATGAAATTAGCTCTCTCTGTTTTTGGGGTGTATCTCTGTAACTGTGAAACACCTTTACTGACCTCTGAGATACTGTCTCGAGAAACTTAATATCTGGCGCTTCAAGTTTGTGACACAACTCCGCAAGTGCCATTTTCCCAACTTACTTTAGAGGCTTTTTTTAATCACTAGTCAGCAAATGTCATTTCTCCAGCATACTTTAGAGTACACTATAATTATTATTAGGTACTTATCACTAGTCAGCAAATGTCATTTTCCAAGCATACTTTAGAGGCTTATTTATCACTAGTCAGCAAATGTCATTTTCCCAGCCTAATTTAGAGGCTTGTTTATCACCAGTCAGCAAATGTCATTTTCCCAGCTTACTTTAGAGGCTTGTTTATCACTAGTCAGCAAATGTCATTTTCCCAGCTTACTTTAGAGGCTTATTTATCACTAGTCAGCAAATGTCATTTTCCCAGCCTAATTTAGAGGCTTGTTTATCACCAGTCAGCAAATGTCATTTTCTCAGCCTAATTTAGAGTCTTGTTTATCACCAGTCAGCAAATTTATCTTCCTAGCTTTATTCAGAGGTTTTTTTATTACGACTCAGTAAATGTCATTTTCTTAGTTTATTTTAGAGTCTTGTTTCCCAGCTTATTTCAGAGGCTTATTTATCACCATTCAGCAAATGTAATTTTCCCAGTTTACTTTAGATCAGAGTTTCCTTGGGGAAAATCGTTTCACTTGTACAAATCAGGACACCAGAATTTTGTGTTAGTTACAGAGGTAGCTGACGTTCGGGTCATGGGTCATGCTGAACTATTTCTTCATTTCCGTTGCTTGGAATAGACTATATCTGCATCGTTGTCTCTATTAGGAAATTCACTGTCTTTTGTAATTCACTCAGTGACCTGTAAAGTTTGGCTTCCACCGGTGTTTCTCTTGGCCAGAAGTTTTGCCTTGATATGATGTATTTGGGACAGGGCTGGAGGATGTGATCTGTTGTCTCAGAGGCCAATCTACATGTGCACATGCCTGATTCACCACCTGTAGTTTTACATACATGTGGCTGTGAAGTCGATTATGCCCTGTTCAAAGGCAAGGAATAATGACTTGCTCTGATCTATCATCTACAATATGGTAGTCGTCTTGTGCCGGTTTTGGCGGCTTTCTGACTGATACGATTATTCTCCTCTACTGATGATAAAAGATTGGCACGTCAGGTTGTTCTTCATTTACACCTTCCTTAGTTTATCAGCTCTCTCTTTTCTAGAAACTCCTCATTGGGATGGTCTCCACTGCATAGTTACCTCACATCGGTTACCTAATTTATAGAGCTGTGACTGTATACCTGGTAATTTTCTAGACTGGAATGCCTGAAGTACCACTCTTGCTTCTGTCAAGAATACCATGAGTTGTAAAATATGACCAGTATTTATCATTTTGTCTGCTACTATTTTGATGGCTTGAACTGCTGTATCACAATTGTGACAGTACTTTCCTACTGGTATTCTGGCTTATGTCTGGTGTTTTTTGTTGCTCAGTGTACACTCCTGCTCCTCCACTTCTGCTCGCATTATGTGCTGAACCATCCATGTACACACAAACCCAAAGATCATGTGCGTATTTATCCCCAAGTAGACTGGGGGTAGCTGTTTCATGCTGCAGTTTTGTTCTTCCTTGTTGAATACTCCTTTCACTTCTGTCTGGATGTGTATTGGCAACTTATATTCTTCTCTCCAGGGAAAGCCCGTTGTGGAATAGCATTTAAGGGGCTAGCTAGCATTGGCAGGCAGATCAGTGGTGTGTCTGCAAATTTGTTGTGCCTGCTGGATGAAGGTCAACCCACTGCTAGATTTTGGAATCTTTCTTTCACAGGGCATGCATGTTGTGTGCAATATATGGGAAGGGAAGTTCATTGTTGAACGTGGGACTTGGTGCGGTGCGCACACATTGAACGTAATGTAGAGAGAGAGAGAGAGAGTAACGGTAGACTCTACTACGCTGTGTAGGAAGCCTGTTCTAATCTGGATGGATCCAGGCTGGTCCTGCATGACTGTGTTACGCTGGCGGTAGGGTACGGGCTGTCTGTGAGTGTTGTTACAGTGGCCGCGCCAGCGTGACAGACGCTCGTGTGGTGAGATTATTTAGATCTCAATTACGTGTCAGGCCGCAGACGAAAGGTCTGGACAAGTTTCACAATGTACTGTGCATCGGCCTGTATGATTCTGCTATGACAGTGTACCCACGGGATGGGTGTCATAGAGGTAGACACATAATCACGAGCAGTGAGTTTGCACGAGCAGGTAATGTTTGCTCGTAGTTGACTACGGGACAGGGTGGAGAAGTAGCCCAGAGCGTCCGTAGTGTGTGCTGCCCCGCCAGTAGGAATGACTGTGGCAGTGTAACGTTTTATTCTCGTGATGCCTTTCATTGTTTTGGTGTTGAAATTAGAAATACGTTAATTCTGTTTGACGTTCAACATGTATCCGGCGTCCTTATTGCTGTTGGGCGGGAATGGTGACTTGTTACTGTAACACTATTTAACATACCATGGATACTTGGCAAGTGTGCGTTGTATCAAGCGAACATTCGCACACGTCAATGCACACACATGCTGTGGAACTTTTCTGATTGTATTACTTTCTTGGAATCTTTGCATTTTGTCAGTGTTAGGGTCATCACAATCTTTCCCACTACAGCTAAAGGTGTTGCTTTTATCCCACCTGTTACAACTCCTGAGTGCTTGGTTTTGCACCTTGTCTAACTTTTTTAGTGTGGTTTTTGATGCTGAACTCCAAGCAGGTGACCGGGCTCAAGGTGTGGTCATACACTTTGTGATTAACTTTCCCACTATCGCTCCATGGAACACTGTATTTTAAAATCAGAGAGATGTAACCCAGGCATTGCTCTGCAGTCATGTTTACTTATTAAGTTATATACGTATCCTTTACAAGACGTTGCAGAACCAACCCCAGCATTTTATTGGCTGTTGTGGTTTTCCTAGGCAAGTTTACATCCAGTAGTTGTTTACTTATTACTCTTTTCATGTTATTTTGCATGCAATTAAATACTGGTTTGGTCCACAAATGGAAATGCTGTGATTATTTTATGTAACCTTTGTAAGATGGTTTTTAATTTTTTTTTTTTTAAATTAATGAATATCGTTTTGGGGAAAATCTGACATTTCAGGCATTTTTTAAAAAGTTGTCAGGGTGAAAAGGTTAAACCATAAAGCCTGAAGAAAAGAATGGTATTATCTTGAACCATCATCATCATGTCATGCCACACATGGCTTGCAGTCGATTCTTCCATTCCGTGCTATTCTGTACAACTATTTCAATATTACAGTAAAAATTCAGTCCAGCAGCTTTGGTCTCTCTCACCAACATTCATCTTAAAGTTTCCTTTGAACAGCCTTGCATCCTAAATCCATTTTCTACTGAACCGTATGTACAAATTGTGTTTTATTAGCATCTTTCAGTTTGCCCAGATGACAGTGTTATACTGCGCTATGAGGAGACATAGGAATAAAGCTCCTCCTCTCTATAACACACAGCCTGGGCAGTATTGAAAAGACCATCTACTGTCCATGCATCTTGATACCTCACTTAGCCTGCATGTGTGTGTGTGTTTGTGCGTAAGGGGGGGGGGGAGCAACAATCCAGAAATATGCACAGGCAGTAAATGCATATGTGCTAGAGGTGTCAAAGCCAACAGGATCGCACTGCCAGTACGTTTGTAAATGAACAGCCAAAGAGATTTTGTAAATATTAAATTACCTGGTTGTTCCTACAAGAATCATGTTCCTCCAGAAGTTGGGAGGTTTGCCTTCTCTGTTGACTGGGGTGTACATGCCAAGTGGCAAGTACATCTGGATGAACCCAAATATGGTGGTCATCACCATCTGCATGGCTCCTGGAATTGACAGGGGATGGAAACAGGATGAGGTGAGAGAAGATGTGGGTATAATGTGAGGTGAGAGAAGATGTGGGTATAACATGAGGTGAGAGAAGATCTGGGTATAATGTGATGAGGTCAGAAAAGATGTGGGTATAACATGATGAGGTGAGAGAAGATGTGGGTATAATGTGAGGTGAGAGAAGATGTGGGTATAATGTGAGGTGAGAGAAGATCTGGGTATAACATGAGGTGAGAGAAGATGTGGGTATAATGTGATGAGGTCAGAAAAGATGTGGGTATAACATGATAAGGTGAGAAAAGATGTGGGTATAACATGATGAGGTCAGAAAAGATGTGGGTATAACATGATGAGGTCAGAAAAGATGTGGGTATAACATGATAAGGTGAGAAAAGATGTGGGTATAACATGATGACGTGAGAGAAGATGTGGGTATAACATGATGAGGTCAGAAAAGATGTGGGTATAACATGATAAGGTGAGAAAAGATGTGGGTATAACATGATGAGGTGAGAGAAGATGTGGGTATAACATGATGAGGTGAGAGAAGATGTGGGTATAACATGATGAGGTGAGAGAAGATGTGGGTATAACATGATGAGGTAAGAGAAGATGTGGGTATAACATAATGAGGTGAGAGAATATGTGGGTATAACATGATAAGGTCAGAAAAGATGTGGGTATAACATGATGAGGTGAGAGAAGATGTGGGTATAATATGATGAGGTCAGAAAAGATGTGGGTATAACATGATGAGGTGAGAAAAGATGTGGGTATAACATGATAAGGTGAGAAAAGATGTGGGTATAACATAATGACGTGAGAGAAGATGTGGGTATAACATGATGAGGTGAGAGAAGATGTGGGTATAACATGATGAGGTGAGAAAAGATGTGGGTATAACATGATGAGGTGAGAAAAGATGTGGGTATAACATGATGACGTGAGAGAAGATGTGGGTATAACATGATGAGGTCAGAAAAGATGTGGGTATAACATGATGAGGTCAGAAAAGATGTGGGTATAACATGATGACGTGAGAGAAGATGTGGGTATAATATGATAAGGTGAGAAAAGATGTGGGTATAACATGATGAGGTGAGAGAAGATGTGGGTATAACATGATAAGGTGAGAAAAGATGTGGGTATAACATGATGAGGTGAGAGAAGATGTGGGTATAACATGATGAGGTCAGAAAAGATGTGGGTATAATATGATGAGGTGAGAGAAGATGTGGGTATAACATGATGAGGTCAGAAAAGATGTGGGTATAACATGATGAGGTGAGAGAAGATGTGGGTATAATATGATGAGGTAAGGGAAGATGTGGGTATAACATGATGATGTGAGAGAAGATGTGGGTATAACATGATGAGGTGAGAGAAGATGTAGATATAACATGATGAGGTGAGAGAAGATGTGGGTATAACATGATGAGGTGAGAGAAGATGTGGGTATAACAGGATGAGGTGAGAGAAGATGTGGATATAACATGATGAGGTAAGAGAATATGTGGGTATAACACGATGAGATGAGAGAAGATGAGGGTATAAATTGATGAGAAAAGATGAGAGTATTACATGATGAGGTGAGAGAAGATGAGGGTATAACATGATGAGGTGAGAGAAGATGTGGGTATAACATGATGAGGTGAGAGAAGATGTGGGTATAACATGATGAAGTGAGGAAAGACGTAGGTATAACATGATGACGAGATGTGAATGCAACAAGATGAGGTGATCTGAGGTCACAGAAATGTGGGTATAACATGGCAGTTGAGAAAAGATGTGAATATAACATGATGAGGTAAGGAAAGATGTTGCTACAACATGACGAGGTAAGAAAATATTATGCTTGTTATATGCCCAGAGTGTTAATATTCTTTAATAAAATTACATCTTTGCAGCCTGCATATATTAATTTTTTTATTCAGTTGATTGTCTATGATTTGAACAACATCATCAATATTCTTTTGTCTCATCACAAATGGCACACATTATCTTCTTTCAGTCCATTTGATCCTGTACAGCTGTTTTAACATAATGGGTGGAATCCAATCCAGCAACTTGGGTCTCTTTCAATAACATCTGTCCCAGGGTTTTATCTTCACGTCTCCTTAGGATGTCCCCAATATATCGCCAGGCTAACACTGGCATTATTAGTATTGGAACTCTGTGCTGGCTGCTAGGGATGGGGACAGAGCGCATATGAGTTGCCCCGAGTGCTGTGATGTCAATTCTTAACTCAACATATCTATGATTTACACGACACCAAATTAGTTAAACAATATGAAACATCACCAACCTAGCAGTGTGGGGTCGCTCCTCAATGTGGCAAGTATGTACTTGTTTAGAAACAGAGTACACGCACTGAAGAAATACCACAAAATGAGGAACGTGAAGGCGTGAGCGTTAAAGAGACCCAGTTTCTCCTTGTCCACAGTACTGGGTTTGCGGGTCCGGGGCTGCATGGTCATGCTGTTGAGAATGGAGGTCTGCTGCTTCTCAGGTAGTTCTCCAGTCAGCATGCTGTAGCAGCGCCTGAAGGGCCCCCACAGCGGGCCACTCCAGCCTGGAGACCACCGGCACCAGTAAGTTTGAGGCACAATTTTGGTCAATCCCTGCAAAATAGTAACATTCTGAATCTTTATATAAAGAAGGTTACATATTACAGAACTGTTCTGTGTCACTATCAAAACACGGTTACAATTACACATAACTATTCTGTATCACTATCAAAAGAAGGTTACAGATATACAGAATTGTTTTGTGTCACTGTCAAAAGAAGGTTACAAATTTACAGAATTGTTCTGTGTCACTTTCAAAAGAAGGTTACAAATATACAACACAATGTGACCCAACACAAAGCACAATGAGAATAATGATACCTAAAGAAGGTTACAAATTACAGAGACTAGTCCTGGGTCATTTGTTAAAGGAGATTATCAATTATAAGAACTATTCCGAATCAAAAGATTATAAATTAAATCACTGTTTTGTTGCAAGTACCAAAAGGTTAGGAATAACAACATTGTTCTGTCTCTTTGCTATAAAAAAAAGGGTTACAAACTAGACTTTTACTGTCTTATTTCTGAAAATTCCTTCATTCCATTCAATCCTGTGCAATCAGCTCTATATAATGGATGTAATCCAGTCCAGCACTGCTGGCTTCTCTCATCAGCGTTTCTTTTAGGGTTTCTTTTGAGTGTCCTTGGTCCCTTGATCCTTGTGTTTCATGTTTCAATGCCTGTTTGGCAATTTTCTGCTGGTTTCTTCTCAGCATGTGTAAAATATACTGCCATCTTCTGTTTTCCAAGTGTTCATACTAGTGGTTGCCCAGACATTTCTCTTATTTCTGCACCCTCCTTTTGAACTTATTCAAATTTTTTTTATTACTGAAAATAAAGTTATAAATTACAGTAACTACCACAAATAAGGTTACAAAATTATAGAACTGTTAAATGTCATTAGTAAAAAAAAAATAGTTAAAAACTAAAGAAAAGGGTGGGGAAGGAGGTGGAGTAACTATCCGTGAGGCCTTTGGACAATGGTACGAGAGCTGCACCACAGAAAAGTTTGGACATCATCCCATAATATTTTCCAAAATAGCAGTGCCTGCACATATCGACTATTTCCAACCTGCATTGCGGAGATACACTTTAACTTAACCCTTTACAAACCAAATCATCATAACATAAAAGGATTTTCTCTAAAAGCTACAGGAGAAGCTATACAAAACTTAAGGCACATCTGTAGAGATAAAAGTTAATTTGCCTCCATAAAACCCTATCAACGTCTTTTGTCTTCTTCAGACTCTTCCTCTTTAATAGGAAGAACAGATGCAGTGAGTTTTATTGCCATCACCATATTCATTTGATCTTAGTAAATCAAACAATCACAATTGTTTTGTTCCTGGATTACTACCTTCAACCCCCCCCCTCCCGCCAATTAGGTCTCTGTCTAACGGGCAAGAGGAACAGATATAGTGAGTCTCATAGCTATAACAACATCTGATCTTGGTGAGGCAATCAATCAGACAAAATCTAAATACAATTTTCATACCAACTATATACTATCAGTGTCAGACTTGGACAATGACGACAGAAGAAGAGGAAGAAAAAACAGGGCAATACTTCAAACAGCCACTCTAGGGGGATGTTATATGTTCTAAATAAGTAATAATTTACAAGCTGAGGCTCTACTGGCAAATTTGGCTGGTAAGCTGGAATGCGTCGACTGCTTCGGCCGGCTTAGCGGGGCATAGTGGGAGTTATGTCCCTTGGCCAAACTCAAAACAACTCAAAACAAGTTGCGGAAAAAGTCACGAAACAAATGACATACTTACCTATCATCATCCGGGTGCGTGTAGGGTTGCGTAGGGTGTCTATCATCGTCCTACGGTTGCGTGTAGGGATGCTTATTGCGTGTAGGGTTGGTTGTTTGCGTAAGATAGATGAGGGGTAGGGTTGAAGGTTAGGGTTTAGGGTTTTAGGGGTTAGGGTTTAGGGTTTTAGGGGTTAGGGTATTAGGGGTTAGGGTTTAGGGTTTTAGGGGTTAGGGTTTAGGGGTTAGGGTTTAAAAATTTTCACGTAGGAGGTCGAAATAGTGGCCGACAATTTGACGTTTGTGGGAGTGGCGCCACTGAAACTATCAAATATGACGACGCCAATAGCGGGCGGCTGGTGCCCAGTCGCTGGCGAATTGATCGTTTCACCAACATCCACAGGCCCTCAAATGTTTGTGTGTGTATGTGACTGTGCGCGACGTCGACGACGTTGGTCTGGTGGACTTCTACCTCGTGCAGATAGATGGCATGCCTTACGTTATGCCAGATAGATGGCATGCCTTACGTTTGCAACGTTGCTGTAGCTTCGCCCTAAGCCTAACCCCTAACCCTACACCCTATCCCAAACCCTAACCCTAACCCTACCCCTAACGCTAAACCCTAACCTTACCGCTCATCTTACGCAAACAACCAACCTACACGCAATAAGCAGCCCTACACGCAACCGTAGGACGATGATAGACACCCTACGCAGCCCTACACGCACCCGGATGATGATAGGTAAGTATGTCATTTGATTCGTGACTTTTTCCGCTCGTTTTGAGTGCGGCCACGGGGACATAACTCCCACTAAGTCCCGCTAAGCCGGCCGAAGCAGTCGACGCATTCCAGCTTACCGGCCAAATTTTCCAGTAGAGCCACAAGCTGACCCTGGGAGGGGGGGGGGGGAGAATCCATTATAGTAACACAAAGAAGGACCAAGACAAATAATATATGGACTAAAAGAGTCACTGAGACCTTGAAGGAGACTCCACAAGAATACAGCATACCAGTCGAACGCATCCTAGCTCTGATACTTATTATCTGTTAAGTCATCTGCGACACACCTACCAGCAAAAAAAAGCATTTACAGACAAAAGAAAAGAATCAAGTCTATTAGTCTATCATATGATGCTCTCTTTTTTCCTCATACCTTCCCTAAAATGGGTGGGGGAAATGAAGACTATAATATCAAATGCACCATCCATAACATTTATTTTTATTTGATCTTGGTTGATAAAACAAGCACGATTTTGTTGTTGTCTCCGCTCTCTCATCTTCAACTGATAGTACATAAATAAATCTCAACCGAGGGTAAGCAGTCAACTTCCTACAAATAAAATTAAAATCTTCATTGTTGACTGACGTTGTTTATAATTTATTAGTCAAAAGAAATGTTTTCTTTACGATGATGTTATGTTAGTTTAAGTATAAGTAATAAGTGTAAAATAATGTACGGTGCAACAAAATAATTAAACATAGATACCTATATCGTCATGATGGGTTTATATCTCTGGAAATAAACGAACAAGTTGGGAGTTAGGTCCGTTCGATGAAGAAAGTTTCCACGTCTTCAAGTTTGCTTCTAATCGCCATATTCAGGGGAGGGTACTCTTATCTACTTCCGCTGGTCTGCTACACAAGTGGGCTATACGTCATAGGGTCAAGGGTCGTTATTTCAGCCCAATCTGATTCAATTAATCAAGTGCCGTCTTCACGAATAACGTTTAGCAGGAATGGGTCGCTGACAATAAGATGAAAAAAAACCCTGACTGCTCAGGCCGCACGCCACCACCATCCCCAGTGTTTTGAGACTGAGTTGAGCCTTACCCCTCCCCTCTGCTCAAACGGTTAAAATAGACGCTAGGCACGGGCGCTGTTTGAAGCCGAGGCAAATATTTTTGCTTCTGCCAGACGGTGGCCGTTGCATTTTTGCTCCATTTGTTGAATTAAAGGATATAGTGATATAGTTTCGTCGCCGAGCCTCAGAGTTGAATGCATGGCATGACACTGTGAGCTGCGGATTTTATTTGGAATGTTTTTTCGACTGACCAAAGTTGTGGTGTGAATTGTAGATTCAGAAAATGGCACAATGCATGTTGTCGCAATGTTGGTGGTGCCACTATGTGATTACAATTGATCGCGTGTGCAACTGCTAAACTGTTGGTGACTTTCGCTACCATCAATGATGAACTGCAGTTCTAATGTCGGACTGCTTTGAAAGAATTTGTTAATACATTTTCAGATCCAGTGGTATCTCGGTATACATACTGAATCAGTTCCAGATCGTGAGACGGATATCAAACAGGACATATACCAAAAAGGTTATTTGGTTATTTATGCGATGGTCTCCCCATTTGCACACCACCGGTTGTAGGTCAACTCCATTGGTAAGTTGGTTGGACTAGTCTACGGGTCGAGGTTATGGGTGTCGCAGTCTGTTGTTGTCTAGTATTTACGATTTCATTTCCGAGAAAGAGACGGCCTGTGACATAGGTTTTGTTAATCTCTAAGGAGAAGAAGGGGGGGGGGGGGGTTGTGTGTTAGACCTAGTGTTTAAAAGTTACAGAAGTGTTAAAAGCTCTGGCATGGTGATATATACAACACGAGTTATGAGCGCGACTGCCGAATTTCCCTGTGACCTTGTATGAAAATCGGATCACTTGAGACCGAACGATCAGAAGTGAGATGGTCTTTAGGTCGTCCAATCAGAAGCGAGCTAGTGTGTGGCGGTGTGCAAATGGGGAGACTAGCGCAAAATTTACCACCAAATATATTTTTTCCCTAAGAAATAAAGGTTGAATGATTAATCATATCCTAGGAGGAAAATACTTTTGTTATTGACATATACATTGATATAACTTAGGTATATCACTCATGAGCCACATAGGAAAAATGTATGCAAAGTTATTAGAACAGAGAGCTAGACCTATAGCAAAATAGCACTTAAGTACATCACAATTTGGTTTCAGGAAAGGAACGGGTTGTATAGAGGCAATGTTTACACCAAGAAAAGTTTGCGAGAAAACCATTGAACATGATTGTGAATTGAACATTGTGTTTGTCGATCAAGAAAAAGCTTTTGATAGAGATGATAGAAACAAACTATGGGCTATTCCTTGAGATTATGGGATACAATGACAGCTACAAGATAACATTGTGGCCATGTACATGTTTGGTTTAGTTTCCGCGCCACAGTGTTTC